GAATAGGCGCACAGTGGCGGGCTCGCGGACTGATCACGTATCTCGGCAGCTAAATACAACCGCGACATTTTTGTATACATTTCTATTTTGTAAATAACTGCACTTTTTTCAGATCTCAAAAACCCGAAATTTCGCTATATCTCAAAAACTTTTCTAATCTCTTACATTTTAATTTCGTAATGTTGCTAGTCGGACATTTTTTTCATTTCCGTAAACTTGTGTTATTGTCGACAAAATGCAAGGCGGATCCGAGTGCGTTCTATTATTAGTCCTTTTGCCATGTCCAATATAAATTATACATATATCGATGGAAAGTTTAGAAAATCATCTATCGAAATAAGATATTTACGAAAAAACACAAAAATGGTACATTGTTTAAAAAATGCAAAGAATTTTTTTTTCAAATTTTTTGGAAAACAAAATTTTTAGAAAAAAAAATTTGCAAAAATTTTTAATTTCCACCAAAAAGCACGGAAAAAATTGTAATACTTAGGTCAGCAATTTTTTTATTCTCTATCATACGTGTGACATCAGATAAGAATTTTAAGAAAACTTGTGACTAAGGAAAAATACTGAAATTTGGATGTTTAAAATGGTATAATTCGACAAGCGGTAGAAAAAATTTTTTTCCCATAGCAACAACTTGGTGGAGTTCGAACAACATGCCGCTATAAAAATTTATTCCTGGTACATTTGCCGAATTTTGTCCCAGATACGTATTCCCAGAAATGCGACTATGAAAGAAAATATTTTAGTTTTGTCTTAACCCTTGAATCCTCTGCTACCAAAATCCGAAAAATAATTTACAAAAGGGTGACTAAGGAGTAAAAGAACTATACGATGACATTTTTGGAAAGTCACTAACATCTTTCGAGTCTTCTTCGGATTCAAAATTAATCAATGACGATCGGTTAGTCACAAAGAGTTGGTTTTTTATGTATTCCAACCATGGACTTGAACCGGTTTTGAGCCGGAATAACTAATTTTTTCTAATAATTAACCGAACCAAAACTTTCCACAAATGTTTGATCGGAAAATCTACAGCGAAAGAAATTAATAAAACGTATATATCTAATTTATTTATGAGCCAATTTGGCTTCTTTTTATAACTTATACTGGTCACTTAACCAGAAAAATTTTTGCGAAAAATTATCTAACTAGGTGGCGCTAGAGTCGAGATATTTTCAAAAGCCGTATTTATGCTCTGATTTGTTTCAAATTTGGCATGTTTAGTTGAAACGTAGTAAGACATAGATTTGCAAAATATGGAAGCTGGTGGCGCTGATGTCGAAATTTCTTCACGTTAAAAATTCGTTCAAAACCAATATTAACAAAACGTTTTCAATGACAATTTTCGTAACATAACGTCACTTCAAATAGTTCAGCTGAATAAACAAAAAGCAGAAAAGATTTCTACATTCAAAAACTCGGAAAATTAACCTTAAATATTTAGAATATTACTACAAAAAATTTTATACAAATAGTCTTGCCCAAATCGCAGAGGTTTGCAATTTTGTAACCCAGGTCAAAATCCACTTCTGTTTTTTGTAACGTCACGCCAGCGCACATGTTTACTAATATCTTCAAACCTCTACTACCAACAGTTGCAATTTTTTTACTGAATCATCATCAGGGTCAGTTAATTACTATGTAAATATAAAAAAAATTTTTTAAAATTTTGGCTTTTCAATTTTTTTCAACGCGGAACGCCAGATTGGAAATGCCCATATGTTAGTGTTTGGCCTGAGTATTTGCGAACTGATTGTTCTTTTTTTTATCCCACTTTTGCGCATCAAAAATTTTTGAAAAACATTTTCTTTAAATTTTCTTTTACACGCATCAACACTTTTGTAGCGCATTTCCAGTGTGAGTTATGCCTATGAAATGTCGCTTAGACATTTCGTCAACATTTAAGAGGCATATTCGCGCCCCTGCAGTGTCTACGCATTAGTCACAAACCGGCAGAGACAAATTTCTATGAAGCGTTGGCTAAAAATAGGCACAACACTCTGTCCAAGAAATTTAGCAACAACTATGGAATTGATTTTTTGTTTGTTTGTTTTGATAGATGAGTGTGCGTGGATTAGGCGGTAGCTGAAGAATTAAAAGCATAAACGATTATTTAAATTATTTAACAAAATATACATATGCATGTATACATTTTTTTAATTGAAGTTTTATGCTTTTGTTTGTTGAACGCACATTTAATACATACATATGTATGTAAGTAAGTGCTTGTTTGATCAATGTTTTGCAATCAATCGCAAGGAATTAGGGTTCTGAAAATTAAATATTAATTATGCATAGAACATTATAAAAATAAATTGATATTTATTTTGACAAATATTTGCGATTTTTGAGCAGGTCGTGAAAAATATGAATTATTATAATATTTTTTGCAGAGGATTTGTTAGGCTTAAGAGAGGCCAATAAATAAAATATAATAAAAAACTAGTGAAGAAATAGCGCAATGTCACAATAATTCGCACCAGTCGGCCTATAACATATAAAATTTATTGCTTTCAGGTTCCGAATAAAACTAACATATTGCGAATTAAAAACACGGCCTGTTGCCAACAAATTTAGTATAAACAATCTGGCAAGCGTAAAAACATTAGTTAATTTGTATTTACAGAAAACATAATAGGATTGCACATAAATCAACTATTCTATTTAAATCTGAAATTTAAAATTCACATTAACCAAATTCCACTATCCAAATATCGATAGGCTGTTTTTCGTTTTTGAATATGTAAATCAAATCTGAAGGTACCACCCAAAAAATTTTTGAAAAGGGATAGCCCAAAATTTCAAAGGTTCTGAAAATAGGACCATTTAATGAGAGTTCATCTATCCCCTCTATTCTAACAAGAGTCATAAAACTCAGCACTGTTGTGATTTCTAGTGCGCCGCAAAAAGTGACGACTTCATTTATGTAACTGCCTTGGCTGACTTCGAAGTAGCGCATCCTGTTAACTCAGTTTTCCAAGACCATGTTGACGGTTTCTGGCTCTATCTCATGAATGGCTTGCTTTATATTCGCCGTGAGGGCCTGAATCGTTAATGGATTGTCGCATAACATCGGTCTTTCACGGCACACCACATAAAAAGTCTAACGGCGTCAAATCACAACTCCTAGGTGACCAATTGACATCGCCGAGACGGCTGATAACTCGAATACCGAACTTGGTGCACCATCGTGCTGAAACAAAGATCGTCCAAGTCCATGTCTTCAATTCCCGGCCACAAAAAAAAAAACGTTTATCATGTCTCTGTAGCGCTAAACCTTGACCGAAATGGTGTTTTTGGCCGCGGGGATATGATACTGACTCTTTTTGTCAAAATAATATATGATAAAAAGAAACCACTATATGTACTACCCTGTACAACAACAATTGCATTGGGCATTGCGTAAAGGTACCACGTAGCCATTTAGACATAAGTCCCTGCTACCTTTAAGCTACGACGGGTATTTGAGGGCAATGTTTGGCGTTCATATAGTCACCTCAAAAATAAGGTCACTCTGTAAGTAAATCGAAGCACCTGGATCTCAACAGCGAGCTCTTGAGAACAAAAACATTATCCAAGATACAATTGGTACTCCCCGACAATATTCCATCGAAAACAAAAAATCTCTTAGTGGAAGAACAAATGAAGCCAGGGTAATATCATATCCAATAGCAAGGTTACGTTAAAAACCTTGGAATCGTACAAAACAATAAGGGCACCGACGAAGACGAAGTAGTCGATGCCCTATCTAAAGTTATCGTCTTCTAATAAGTAAAAGGCGGTATCAAAAGGGAGGACCCGAAGACTCCTATGCGACTACTACTGACTCGTCTGGGGGAAGAAAATATAGAAGACCTGTCTACAATGGACTATGACTTTGAGAAATTGGAACTTGCATAAGCTAAGAGCAATTCGGTTTGCCGTTCAATGGTGGATGTTACGCTTTTCACTTCTCCTCAGTGAATCTCGGACCTACTCCTGGAACTGAATCGAGAGAGTAAGTACGAAAAAAACGCAACTAAAAGTAAAACATTTTCAAGATTAGACGCTCGTAAGAAATGAAATGCAGATTTTGTGCGCTGGCTGATGAATTAAAGCTAGAAAAACCCAGATATGAGCGATTTTCCTGAAATTGTGGATTGCGCCATGCCATTGTGTTTTAAAGTGAACCGGCGAAAAAATATCATTTAACAATCAATCTTTCACGAAGTGAAGAAAACTCTAGAGTCGCCTTTGTCATAAATGTCCATAATTTACTCCAACAAACCCACGAACATAAAAGCGAATTACTTTTAATTGAAATCGTTAAACCAATAAAGAGGTGAAGCACAACCTTAATGAGCATCCAAGCAAACCAACAACAGCGCCTTCATACATCTATATCACACCATATTGGGCTGGAATCCACCTCCAGGGTGTACAAATAATTTATTGTACATAGGATTGCTAGCGGAGCATCGCCAGCGTATTTAGCGATTTGAAGCGACTCAAATCTAAAGTAATTCATTAAAGCTTTTCCATATACATATATTTTCGTTTAATTTTATTCATTCGTTTTTTTTTTTAACAAATTAAGGCAAACCTGCCCCGTTGCAAAAAAAAAACTAATTAACTTGTTCTTATTCATTTTGCATATTCCTAGCTACATCCCGCCTACGCAGGACACTCACAATGCTGCGCTACTAAATTTAGTGTTGTTTGAAAAGGTGTGTTGGAGCGTAAAGTCCCAAAAGTAAAAAACAAAATGCGAAAGCTACGCTCAAACAAAATGCGGGAGTAGAAAGTTTACATTGAAAAAAGGGAGAATAAAAAAATAATATTCGCAAAAACTGCTCAAAAACTCAAACAAGTTTCCATACTAAGCAGTGCACACATCTCAGTCAGCTCGGCTGTTGAGCGCACGCGCAGCTGCGAGACAAGTCGCCTCATCAGGTGCGCGCTCAAACTGGCAATGGCGCGTATAAAAGGCAATTAGCGATGCAAAGCAGCACACAGTTTTAAATCGCAAGCAGAGGCTCGCGTCAGTGGTACGTCGTCTCGTAGTTCTAAATATTTATTAACAATTAAATATTCGTGTAGTTTTGAGATAGAACCGCCGTTTCTGTTCTAGTCAGGCACGCTTTGGCGCTGTTGGTATTTATGGTGACTTTGTTCAAAATACAAAAAAGAAGCTGCATAAGTTCGTGTGCATGAAAACTCCAAACAATAAACAAAACGCTGAACAATAAAAAATATATAAAAAAATTGCGAAATGGTGAGTCCTCCGCCGCAGGCGTTTAATTACTCAACGCACTGAGGCATCTTTTTTAGGCTTTTGCTGCTAAAGTCAACAACTGTAGAACGTGACTCGAATTTTAATTCTGACGCAATGTTTTTTGCGAAATTACGTGCTGATACAACAATAAAAAAAATCGTATTTAAACTATAACACTTATTTCATGTGGCAATGTACAAACATATGAATATAATTATATATGTATGTAAGTTTTTTAGGCAAGTAAGAATGAGTCTTCGCTGATTAATTGCGTGGTGACAAAAGGTGATGTGCCAAAAGTCCATTCGAAAGCAAATTTTATGCGCCGGGTATGCTAAAAGGGAAAAACAATTATTTTCAATGAAAAGGGAAACGAATTCTCGGCATTAAAATACTCGTAAAAACGAGTTTTTATTTTTTAGTAATTGATAATAAATATTGCTTCGTCCCAAAAAAAACAAAAGAAAAATCTCAGGATGTAGCTACAGCGAAAGGTGATTGTCTCTAAACCAAATTCGCAAGGGATGACGAAAATACGTTCCGAAATAATTAGTTTAAATACAAAGATTGACAAGGATGGTAGCCTTCCTACGGTGACAGCGTAGTTCAACTGCAAACGACAAAAGGGTGCCTGCAAGGAGGTGTGTTATCTTCTCTTCTAAAATAACCATGTCCCCTTTCACCAGAAAGAGAACTCTCCAGGGTATGAGGAACTTAACCTTGGATGGGGTCGCGGTCGGCGTCGCCACAGAGGCTACGTATCTGGGACTTGAAATGGATTCGAAACTCCTATGGAGGCGGCCGCCGTCTAAGCCACCAGCTCCCATAAGTTAGGCTCCCCCAGATATGAGATGCCTATAGTAGTTTTTGAAAGAAATTTCAAGGTTGATACATATAGCAAGGCGACCTGGAATACAATTATTAAGGAGAGACACGTCCAGGGGAGCATACTACAGTGATACACAGCCGGTTCTAAGACTCCTGAGGGTATTTAAGCAGGCTCATACATATGGCCCTCGACTGAAGTTTTCGATGCCCCTAGTAACCTTTCCAAAGATCTTCCAAGCAGAAGTCTACGTGCAGAGATAAACCTTCACGGGAATTATAGAAATGAGAGGATACAAATTTTAAGTGAAAGTCAGGTGACACTGAAGGCTCTCGCATCCTTCGAGATCAGTTCCCCAGTGGCCCTAGAGTGTGTGGAGAGACTGACTAGAATAATGCTATCCAATTCTTACGGATACCAGGGCACATGGAAGTCAAAAGAAATTAGGAAGCCGATCAGTTAGCCAGAATGGATGTTGCCTCGAGCAATATAGGACCTGAGTGACTCTTTTCAATAGGTTCAGCACGATAAAGGGAACTGCACTAGCGTAACACCATAATCTAAAAAGATACAGGCTGGTCATGGGCCTCCCTAAGGTTAAACTAAGATCATTACAGGCATTTTGATGGGCCACTGCAGGCTAACAGGCCACTTATATAAGCTAGGAATCTGGTCGAGCGATCTACATCGCTTCTGTGACACCGCCAGAGAGCCATCATTACGCCTCGTCCTGGAGTGTAAGACCGTTTTACATAGAAGGGAGAGAAGCATAGGGCATCTATGCACAAGGCGAAAATACATTTCCTAGGAGAATATATACACTCCCTACGCCGGCACATATTCTAAATTTAGGGTCAAAGGAGTATTCGACGAAATATTTTCTAAAACGAGTTTGTCGATTAATTTACCATAGGAAAAACCTTCATGATTCCAAACGGGGCTTGATTTCCAGACCCAATAGGTTAGATAAACGGGTTGTACCTGTGACAGAAGCCATTCCTTCTTCTGACGGCCGTGGTTTGCGGGATTAAGATTAAGATAATTGTTCATTAGATATTATGCAAAAAAAATATTCATATAGTATGGTGAACTATGTATATGGGCAATAGGAAGAATATTACACATTATCGCGCACATTGAACTAATAAAAAAATTTAAAAATAAACACATAAAAATAGACCTCGACCTACTTATTAAAAATAGTTTAAATGATTTATAAAATTAAAATTTTCTAGAATTTTTCTATTTTGTTTCTAAGAGCAATCTATTTTTGAATTCATTGAATTATTGGGAACAAAAAACTGTGAAAACCACACGCTCTTAATGGCACAGATTTTTTTTTGCCTTTTAGCCTACTTTTTTATTTCAATTTGCTAGTGACTCAACTCAACCGCTAACTCATCCGGTTAAGGTGCAGATAAAGTAAGAATTGCATTAAATTTATTAGCTTGAAACCGGCCAAAAACTATGTGGGCGTTCAACAAGCAGTGAACTTGAATTTTAAGTTAATTGCTTCCAGGCAGATTTGCAACGATTCTCTGTAAATGGAGCTGCAACATACATAAACACTTATGTACTTTGTTTTTCGCAAATACTATTAGCAAATATTAAAACACAAATCACAATTCACATAAGTGTGTCATCTTCTGCGGATGTTGGGATTTTTTCCATTCAAATAAATATTTAAAAGCACTCATATTTGCATGGGCTGTGAAATATGTATTTAAAACTATGTAAATATGGACTAAGTCAACGAGCCCAACTTAGCCAAAGCAAAGACAATGACAGTTTAAGTAATTAACTAACAAGCCGGCTAGTTGGTGTAAATAAAGAAAGGTCCAAGACAAAGTGTTTTTGTAGTTAAATATTGTGCGAGTGCTAGCAAAAGTACTAATTAGGTCAAATGCTGCATTTCAATAGTTAAAACACCGCTAAAAATTGTCTTAAGTAAAAAATTTTGTCTAAAACTTGCATTTATTATATTAGAATTTTATAAGATTGTTAACTGCATACCCAAAAAATTTCTAAAAATTCTGGTTGAAAAGCTCGAAATTTAGATACAAATTTGTGGAATTTTTCTAAGTTCTGTACCAATTTTGAAAGTGTGATTTATATACACCCTCATTGCGTAAGTCGTAAATTAGGCTAAATTGTACGACTCGACAACAGTAGCATTGTCCATTGTCGTACTGAAATAAGTAAACGACCAAAATTGTCGAAAACTATACAGTGCTGCCAAGTTTTTCCGTTTTAATACACTAGTCGAGTGGAAATTTTAGGCAATGACGTGAAATTTTCGATACGAATCGACTCTCGAAAAACGTCTTGCATTTGATACGACTCTCGCAATGAGGGTGATAGTTTTTATTAAAGCATTAACCATAGAAATGTGTCTACATTTTCTTTGTTTCGAATTTTGGGCCACCGGTTCCTTGGAGTTGTCAAAGGACTAAAGTCTCGTTTGCAATCTAAATATCGATTTGAAAGTCAATTTTAAAATTATTTTTCATAAACTCCTATTAATTCATATTTTTAACTTTTTTGTTCTTTTCAGCCCTCGAAGATCATCTTGAGCGCTTTGCTCTTGCTTGCCATAACAAGCAGCTTTCCAGAGGCTTTAGGTAAAAATGTAGACAAGCGTTGCGTGAATTGCACGTATCGTACATACTACACCTCCGCCAGCAGTCCGTCACAACAGTATACAGTGCGCGATTCAAGTGGTATTTAATAAAGATTCTTGTTCAAAATTCAATAAAAAATTATGAAAGCTCAATCTAAAGCTCCATTAAAGGCTGTTTGCAAAGCTTCATAACAAATTTCACGCGCTTTTCACACACACACGCAGCCATAAATACGTTAATACAGATGAAGCTTTTTACATTCATTGAGATTTTTCAAAGCTTTCACATAAAGTTTAAAAATTTTTGCTACTTAATTCGCTTTTCATCACTTCTTTCGCTTCCAACCTCTTAAATACTAGTACTATGGAGGCATGCTAACACTTCCTATAGAAAGCTTACATTAATCCCTTTAATTTCAACACTTTCCCTTTTCTTCCCTCTTTTAGCCGGCACATATGGCTGCCATGGTAATCCATGCGGCGTTAATGCTGTCTGCCAGGAAGCTTCTGGCGGCCGCCCGGTCTGTTCTTGCCCACCCGGCCATAGCGGCAATCCGCTGACTCACTGCAATCGTGGCGAATGCTTGGATAATGTTGACTGCCGTGGTGACTTGCAGTGCAAGGATAATCGCTGCGTGAATCCCTGTGTGGGCGCTTGTGGTCTCAGTGCCAACTGTGAGGTGAGTTTTGAAAAAAAAGGAAATTATTTTTCCAAAGAAAGCGTTAATTGGATGTTGATCTATGATTATAACTAAATGATCAAAATTTGATATAACTAAAAAAAACTTTGATATAAATTTTGTTATCAAAAATAATTTTACCAAAGACAAGAGCATTTTATTTTTTTGTTTGGGCAATTTAATTTTGCTCTATTTAAAAAAACATTAAAAGTAGGGTCCCACTGCCAAAACTTTGTTTGTTATAAAAAACTCTGCACTCCTAATTATTTTGTTTAACCTTTTCCCTTACTCGCAGCCGAAAAACCACGTTGCCGTTTGTAGTTGCCCAACAGGCTACAGAGGCGATCCCTTCACTGCTTGCCATCGAGTTGATCCTGGTGAGTATCCCATTTTAGCAACAAAAAAGATAGGAAGGTGCAAATTTTATTTAGAATGAAACCATTTTTCGATAAAAAATTTTAATTTTGACTTTAAGAATAATATTTTGGGAGGAATTTTTGTAGTAATAAAATTGTGGGAAGAAGCAACTTTAAAAAATTAAATGAATTAAAAAATTTATGAAATTTATTAATAAAAATATTTTAAGAAAGACTTATTGAAAAAAAGATTTTAGAAAACAAGTTCGATAAAACAAATTAAAAAAATTATTTCAAAAACAAAAAAACAATTTTAAGAAATAAATTCGGAAAAATTATTTAGGCACACAATTTTTAAGGAAAATGTTATTTCTCGAATTAATTTTAAACAAAAAACGAAAACAAATTAAACGAAGCTAAGTGTGCATAAAAAGGATTGAAAAAATACTGACATAATTAAAAATTTAGGAAATGTGTTAATACATCAAAACTTTTTACGAAAAAGGCTTTTTGGGAAAGATTTTAGGAAATAAAAAAATGTTCTTAGAAGACCAAAATTTTTCGGTGGGAAACATTTTTTTTTTGTTCTTAAGTTTAAGTGAAGTCAGGAAAAATACATATGTACATACCCATTTGGAAAGACAATTAAAACTTTTTTCTAAAATCGGGGAAAATATATAACTTAAACTAAATAATTTATTTATTTATTTCAGGAAAACGAAATTTTTTTTAGAAAAATTAAGCGGAAACGTAAAAGAGACACGTGTTGCAAATTGCATAACACTCTTACGAAATAAAAGTGCAAAAATTTTAGTAATCAATACTAGTGACATAGCATAGTCTTACATAATTACCAGAGCGTCATTCTGCAACAAGTGAATGTTGCTCATACGCCCAGTGTCACCGCAAACTTGGCGCCAAAAATGTATGCAAATAAATATTTTTGCATTTGTTTGTAAACACTTTTGTGCGCGCCAACAAGCTTGTTTGACCCTGATCTTGGTGTAGAGGGAAACAGAAAGCCGCCTACAAAGGAATTCGTTTCACTATTTAAGAATAACAAAAGCAAATCCACAAGAGGAAAACCGCGAAGCCGCAAGCCAGATGCGATGCATTAATACATACATATGTATCTATGTATGTACATATACATATATATCTATCGGGTAGTTTGTGATTTGTTTCCACAATATTGCAGTGCCAATAAGCACTAAAAAATTAATGTTTAGGCGTTCGATTTGAAGCGATTAGAAATATTTAAGGCACTAAAAGCTTGTTCGTTGCTTTGATTTCATCAGCGCAGCTGCGATTGTCAGCAAATTAGCCGCAACCCACATAGTCGCTTTGCGGATATGCTTTACTTGTTTACTTATGCTGTAATTTATTAATTATTTGTAGTGTAAACCATTTTTTCTTTGCCATTTATGGCGATGTTTACTATGCATTACCTCAGCTACGGCGTTGAAATGTAGGCGGCTGGCGCCAAAAGTTCTCAGTGGAATGCGCAATTAAAATATAAAAATTAAATATAAAAATAAAAGAAAGTATAAATAAAGTAATTATATTTGAGAAAAAAAATTATAAAAATAAGAAAAACTAAAATTTTAATTAAGGAATAAATTTTAAAATTAGAAACAGAACAAAACATTATAAAATGAATTTAAAATAAAAAGTACAAAAATAATCAAATATTATTATTATAAAATAAACAAAATTTTTCGATCAAAAAAATGGCAAGTCACAAAAGAAATACAGATGCTAATCTCAAAACAAAAACATTTTAAAAACAATACAAACAACTTTAAATTCACAAAAAAACTATTAGATACCAAAAGAAGTTTAACAAATAATTTAAATATTAAAGCGTAAAAAAATTATAAATTCATACACTCGAATAGCACACTTTCGAAATTTTTGGTAATGCGAAGTCATATTGCACAGGTGGTTGCGGTAGAGCAGCTGTCTTATTAATTTTTTGTTTTTTACTATTTAGTTTTTAAGTACATAGTCAAACGTTGTTTATTTTTTTTCATAAAAATTCTATGGATTTAAATACGAACCTTTTTTTTACGAACCAGTTTTTGGAACGTTCGGTTAACTGAGGAGCACAAACGCTGATTATTTGGTCTTGCAAAATTTTCGATGATTTTGGTAAAAAAAAAAACAAATTTACCAACAAGAACAAACATTTTATTTTATTTTTTTACTATTAATATTTTTCTTTTAATTCTTGTTGATATTTGCATATGATATTTAAAAAACCAGACTACTTTTTTCACTCTGGAGGGCAGAAGCAAAAATAAAATACAGGTAAATGTTTCTGCTCAAATGCTACTACCACATTCATATGCCTTGGGTACTGTTTCCTGCTCACCTTCAAGTGCTGCCAAAAAATATTTAAGTTGTTTACGCTAAAATATTTCAACACATTACGAACGTAGCAAATCAAGAAAAACTATAAATTGCAATAAAGAAGTAAAAAATATTGCATAATTAATTTTCAACATAAAAAGGTGCATTTGCGCTGTGTATATGTGTATCGCACACCGTTTTCAAAACGGGCACAACTCAAATTTAAACGTTTGTCAGAAAATGCGAAAAACTATTTCTTGGCACATGATAATCATATGGGCAAGAGAGACTTTCCTTAGGTTTTTCTTTTAAGAAATTGCAACAAAAATTTTCTACAGCTTTTGCTAAAAAATAAATACAAGCTCTGTGACATTTTTAGCGCATAATTTCAAAAATGCCAAATTTTGAATTGTGCCTCTTTTCAAGAAGGTGTGGGAAATGTACATATTCAAGTTCACAGCCAAGGCGAATTGCGCTGTCCTTTTTGTTTTCAACATCAGTGTTGCCAACGAAGAAAATTATTTCCAGCAAATTAAATATGAAAAAATCCCAAACTTAAATTTTTTAAAGTAATGTGAAACAACCCTTAATCTTGAAAAAAACAAATCGAGAATTTTGATCTTTTTAAAACCTCATGATTTGCGAGTCTCGAATTTTTAACTTTATTTTTACATTCTTCAAAGTAAAATTCTATACATATCAACTGCTCAATTTTAAAGAGGCCGCCAATTAAGTAAATACAATACCTTCTCCATCTGGCAGATTGATTTTACTTATTATAAGCATAGAAACGCTTTAAAAAGTTAGAAAATAGTATTTCTCAACTAAAAAAAGCGAATTCTCAAATTTTTTCAAGGTTGTATATTCAAGGGAGTCAAGGGAGTTCAAGGGCAGTCGACTCATAAATTTGTTAAGAAACCTTTTTTTAGTATTTCGAGTTAAGCAAACGTCACTTCATCATCATTTTTTCAGCGAATAATTTTGGAATTCTGTTGGCAGCCTTGTTTTGGATGTTGTTTGATTTTTTTTTTCATTAAATGCGTTGGCGTGCGCGCGACAATTAAATAATGCGTATAATGACTTTATGAGAGAATTATCAACGCCATTGATCAACAACAATGTTAGCGGGAAAATAAAATAAGATTTTTATGATAGCGGCTAAATTGTTTAATCAAAAAATTAAAAATAAATATCAAGGTACAGATTAAAGCAAAAATCCAAATCGCGTTCCACACTTAGTTGGCTGATCTCCAATATTTGTTGTAGTCTAAACCCTGAATACACAGATCAAAAATTTAAAGATGTCTTGCCAAACGGAACCGACGTGGGCAAGGTTACACCAATTGGACATCGCAATCACTAGGAAAACACTCCACATAGTGGGGCGCTAAAGCTCTAAGTTAGTAAGCTTAATATCAGGTTCAAAACATGCTACCGCATGCGTTACCGCTGAAGCGTTCATCGGAGATCAACCACAATCTATCGCAAACGAAGAGCTCGAGTTTGTATACTGTCCGTAGAAGGTCTAACCGTCAGGATTCCTGTATGTGGCCAATTAGGAACTAATTAGAGAGAGATCTAGCATGCGGACATTTCTGGATCTACAAAAGGTTGGGAGCGCGTTTCAAGACGAGAGACTATAAACTGGGGGCGGACTAAAGAGATAATTGTTAGTATGGTTAGTATCAGCCGAAACATAGTTTTGACCCGTGATTGCTTAAAAACTATATTATCTAAGAATTAAGTATGTAAATATGTATGTAAATCATTCGAAACATTAAATAAAACAAAATTAAATATATACCTGATAGAAAGTCACCAGAACTTGACGCACAGTTCACCCAGCGGTGTTGTAACGACGTGAAAATAATTCGCAATGTTGTGAAAAATTTTGAGGAGAATTGTTAGGTCTTCTACATATAAACATTACTGTTTCCTTATTCTTAGAAGATGTGGGAAGATAGCGCAATTCTGGCATGATATGCTACTTTCTCAATACGTATTTTAGTAGAAGTCCATAAATTGGTCGAACGTAGAGTGGAACTGGGGCGCTAGTATGTATATGGTTTCAGTAGATGGTGTTTAGTAATTTATGTATTCATCCTCAAAGATTTCCCAACTTATCCGCACTATTGTTTTTTCTTTGAATTTTTTTTCTTTGCAGACGAGCAATGCCATCCAAGTCCATGCGGTGTTAACACGAAATGTGAGATTATAAATGGCGTACCCACTTGTTCGTGCATACACGGTTTCACTGTAAGTTTTGTTTGGATTTATTATGTGCCGCATCTGCTTATAAACTATGCCTGTATCTGCTTTTTCGCACAGGGCAATCCTCTCTCCGGCTGTCGCCACGAATGTGAACACGATGGGGATTGCAGTGCCCGCGACATGTGTAGCAACTATAAATGCGTACCCGCTTGCCAGCAGTGCGGCACTGGCGCCACTTGTAACTCGGTTGCGGCGCATCGCGCTGTTTGTGAATGCCCCAAGGGTTACATTGGCTCACCATACACCGAATGTCGTCCCGAGTGCTATGGCGATGTTGATTGTCCAGCCAGTCGTCCCGCTTGTTTCTATGGCATCTGCAAGAATACGTGTGACGGCGCTTGCGGTGTCGGCGCCGACTGCAACTTACGCGGTTTGACGCCTGTATGCAGTTGTCCGCGTGATATGACCGGTGATCCATTCGTGAGCTGTCGGCCATTTACTAAAGGTATGTAGTTAAGTCACTTTAAAATGGAACAAAAATCAAATCTTATGCGTTTTTATTTTTGCTTACAGAGGATCTTTGTGAGCCGAATCCTTGCGGTACAAATGCCATTTGCGTACCAGGCCATGACAATACAGGACGAGAGCGCCCAGTCTGCAACTGCCTACCTGGCTATACTGGCAATCCATTGACGCACTGCACGCGGGTTTGTGTAGCAAGCCGTTTTTGGATGACTTTCTGGTAATTATTGCACTTTTTCGTTTTCTATTTACAGGGCGAATGCCTGAGCAACAACGAGTGTCCTGACAATAAGGCTTGTATCAACTATCAGTGTGTGAACCCTTGCATTGGCAAGTGTGCTGCTGGTGCTACTTGCGAGCCCAAGGCTCATTTGGCGGTGTGCAAGTGTCCACCTGGCTATTCAGGTGATGCGTTGGTGTCGTGTCGCCAATCGCGCGCCTTCCCTGTGGCCAAGTACGATGGTTGCACGCAGTGCGGCAAATAATTTGCTTCAGCTTGCTATCTGGAATGATGAGTACAACTGCCATGCGCTGGAGAAGGCGTACATGGGATGCGCTAAGCTGCCATTTAAATCTTCCACTATTGTTACACCGAATTTCCAGATGATTTTTTCTTTTTATTTCTTGTTTTTCGCTTATATTTAAAATTTACGTCCCATTTAAGCGCTGTTCTGAAATTAAGATTTTTGTTTAATTTTGGTTTTTAAATACATATATTAAGCATTTTGTTAAATGATTATTGTGACATGTAAGCGAGGTATCCTTAATAAATTTAATTTATAACTAAAAAAAAATAAAATAAAATAAAATTTAGTTTTGGTGTGTACAGCTCGGGAATAACAAAATAATTAAAAAAAACACGGTGTTTTGTTGTAACAGCATAAAAATTCCCTAAAGGGTTTGAATAATCACCAATCACAGTGCTTTATTTAATGGCAAAACAGTTAATTAAATACTGTGAATTTGACAGACGCAATTACATATGTATCGAAAAATCACGTTTACAGATGCAAATACATATCGTCTAAGAACACTTTAAGTTTTGAAATGACACAAAAAACGCCGCAGCACGAAAACTTAATTTTGGCTCGTAGATTACGGCCCTGTATGCCATTTCTCTAGATCAGATCATTTTCGCAGGATATCTTCATTTTAAGCATTTTCATTGGACCATTTACATTTTATATATCAATCAATTTTCTTCGTCGAAAGCTTGACGTTTTTGTAAAAGAATAGGCTTTAACACAAATCAAAAGAATTTATAAAAGATCTTTTGTTTTAAATATTTTTCCTGTTATAATTTGCATTTTTTGCTTTCACATAATTATAAGCGAGTAAGGTCTGTCCCTTTATCAGAGTTTTCCAAAAGTGTTTAGGCATTTTTACACTAGAAACAAGCAATTTTTATTTAAATAATACATCCACCATGAAAGCTTAAACAGATCGCTTAAGACATGATCAAAATAAAGTTGATTTAGTTTCACTATTCCTAACCTTATTAAAATCCAGATGATATGAATTGTATTTTCTGCTGCTTAGATAACGCTTCTCGACCAGTGTAGTCAGAGGCGGTTGATATACATAACTACATAGAAGCAAATTTTTAATCATCAAATATTACGAAAGTACGAAAAGTGCACGAGTGCTTAACAAAAATAGTAAAAGTGTGCATACCTCGACGTATTCAAGATGAATTCACAGGTGTTCGTTTTCTAACATTTCTCTCTTCCAAATACGGCAACCTACGGTTATTTGCGTGCTGTGACTTTTGAAAGCAAACAAATGGTCGGAAATTCGAACATTATCAGCCCAGTCGCCAGAGTATACGATGTATTGGAAAATCTCCGGAACAAATTTGCAGATCAAAAACAGCAGCTGCTTCATTTACCTCTTCCATTCGAATATATTCATCACTGCCATAATTAATGATATACAACTCTTTTTTGACATGGTAAGACGTAATATCACTTATATTTAGTATTTTACTTTTTTGTTTTACTAATAATTGAATACAGTTTTATAAACGAAGGGTTTCTTATGCTCGTCGCCGTAGTTTGGCAAATAAATATACGTAAATACCAGTTGAAAGATGCTACATTGGAATAACAAACTTGAGTTGCTATTTAAGCATTAGAGTAATGAAATAAATTTTGAAGGTTCCTTTAGTTGACCTTTAGCATTCTAAAAAATACGTTAAATATTTCTTGTTTGATGTTATTGTATAAATTATGTCGTAGGTAATAGGTATCTATGCACACATGTACATAAATATCTGTGTGTGTTTTTTTTATAAAATGCTACGCTATTGCAGTTTGCTGCAGTTGTGGTTTTAGTGTGACTTAATTTTTTAGGATATTTTCTTTTGTTTTACAAAAAGTTTTTTTATACAATGCATACTTTTGCTTCCGCATCTCATATAGCACACCGCCTAACTTTGGCAACTGCTAAAGTTGGTAACTTCACTGTGCACGATGGTGAGTAGCACATCAATGCTCCTATTGCGCCTTACACATTTTTACAACTCGCATACCCCTTAACACACTCCAATACGAGTGCGGTGTGTGCTCGCGCCTGTGTTTGTTCTGTGGGTAGGTTTAGTGTTTTTTGTTGTATAATTTAATGTTTTTGTTTGGCGTATGTATATATGTATGTGGTATGTATTTGCTTTCGTTTTTCTTTTAAATATAATATATATTTTTAAAATATGCTGAGTACTGTGGTTTTATTGCGCGTTCTACACAAAACCGTCGAGGAATTGCGTGTATTTCAACTGCAACATTTACTTTTTCGTTTATTCTTTGCCTGTTTCAAGGTGATACTGTCCTTTTGTTGTTCGTTTTGTGCGTTGCGCAGCTTGTGCTGCAGCACCTGCCGCGTTATGGCGAGGAACATCTCCTCTACATTGATATTGTCTTTGGCGGATGTCTCGAACAGTTCGATTTCCATTTGGCGCGCAAATCTCTGCGCATCCTCAGTGATGACCACTTTGCGATCGGGGTCGTCATTCTTGTTGCCCACTGTGGAGTGAGAAAATATGTACATTTTTAGAACTCAATTGCAAGCTCATAAAAGTACGTTCGTACTTACCCAACACCTTATTAACCACATCGCAATTGTTCTGTATTTCATCCAACCACCGACGCACATTCGCAAAGGATTCGCCATTCGTTACATCATACACAATGATCACACCATGCGTACCGCGGTAATAGGTACTCGTTATGGTACGGAAGCGCTCCTGTCCGGCAGTATCCCATATTTGCAACTTAATGCGGAGTCCGTCGATAACAACCGTGCGGATCTTGAAATCCACGCCAATAGTGGTAATGTAAGTGCCGGCGAATGTGTCGTCTGAGAAACGTATTAGCAATGATGACTTTCCAACACCTGCACCGGAAAGGGGCGGCAAAATGAAATTGAGTTATAAGTGTAAGCAACAAAACATAGGTACAAAAGGATAAAAAATTAATTAAAAATAAATGGCTGGGCAGATTAATTATCTAAGACACAATGTACGTAGCGATTGCATTGAGACTTGCACCAGACGAGCACACTGAATCATAATGTATTTGAAGGGGTGCATGTTCAACGTGTTTCTCCAAAAGAGAGTCATTTGTTACAAAGGCTTTCTGCTTAAAAATAAGAGTAAATTCTGTAATAACTTTTGACCTCCAAAAACACTTGTTTCTTATACTGTTATAGCGCAATTATATGGAGGTTTGCGGGAGCCTTGGATTTCTACTATATAAATTTTATACCCGATCAAACCTTTCGCGTTTAACTGCATAATTTCCTCGCTAACACAAAAAAAACATAGCGTCTGACACACAAACGGGTCTCAACGTCTGCAACCAGTGACCATCGGCAAGAATTAGTCATCCTCTGTTTTATGAGCTACGTATGCATGTACATGGGTAAAAACATATTCACATACATATATAGGCTGGCAGTTGGCGTGCGGCGTGTATGCCGGCAATATACGCCTATAGCTTTAATTTTAGTTTCCACTTTCGTGTATCGCTAAAATTAGCTAATTTCTGGGATGCAATGCCGCTCATCCATATTTACAAATGACACAAATTCCCTAAGGATGTTGATACACGCAAATGTATGCACATAAAAAATTCTACTACATAAATACATACATATTGCAAATAGGATACTTACCACTATCACCTATAATTAGTAATTTAAATAAATGATCAAAGCCGCGTGCCATGTTGCTTAGCTAAGTTGCTTAGCAGCGTTTACCCAACGATTAGAAACAGCAGCAACACCCACTAAATGACCAACGCAACAACAATGACAACAACAGCAAAATAAGAAATTTTCCCAGTTATTGAAAGGAGTTTAGCGCCGAGTGATTTTTTCTATATTTTGTGCTGCTTTCGAATGGCTTTGCTTTGACGCTGTGTCTTTTTATTTTGTTCTGTTGTGTTTTTTCTTGAGTTTTTATCGCTACAATGTCCGACGACGAAAATGCTTCTTATGCGAAGCTGATAAGGGTCTCAATGAGTTATGCACTGCGCGGCCGGCTGGTGGTGGGTTGTCGGTTATTGGGTGTGAGGCATGGCCTTTAGCAGTTCGCAAAAATGTCGTTTAAGCTGGAAGAATTTTGATATTTATCGCTACTGATATGCTAAATATGCCAATTGCTACATACATTTTAATTGTGTTTTGGACAATTCTTGTTTTTTCCTTGGGTATTGTGTTGGCGATTACGGCTCTGGGCGAGTTGCTTTTTCCAAGTTTTTTCTTGACGATGGGTGGATGTTAGAAATGAATTTTGACCAGTTTCCATGTACTAGAGGGTGACCTGTATTACCTCTACATAGAAATTGTGCCAGCTCAGACGCAAATAAGTTTTTATGCTGCAATTTTTTCTGTAATTTCTCGTGTCAAGTGACCAGCACCAACGTCTCCAACACCCGCATTCACACACTCAACACTTCATTTTGTAGACGGTTAAGCGGCAGCGCGGCGCAGACGAAATCGACGGGAGTAGAGAAGTGTTCACAGCAAATTCTGTGACGTCGACGCGAACAGCGGCTGAGACTACGTTGATTTCGCTGTTGCTTCCGCTCCCTTCCTTTCCTGTGGCTTTTTCTGCCCTACTGATTTACTTGCTGTGCAAATTGGCTAGACGTTGGAGTTGAGGGTGGTGGTTTTTCCGATTTTTGTTTAATATTTATAAAAAATACACTTCAGGTAAATTTATTGTCTGGTTTATCCGAATCCAAACTCTTTTGAATCCAAGGTGCAGGTTTTTAATTGAAACTTTAATTCAAACACGACGTCTCATTCACTTTTCTGCCTTCACTTTTATCATAATCCGTAATTTTTCTGTACTGGTTTTCCTTTGTTTCGCACAGGAATGGTAAAGTCGACTCTGACTTTAGTCAAAAATCGAATCTTACACGATCAAGAACTTGCTTTCATGTTAAGCACACATTCTGCCATTTCAAACAAAGGCGTTGGTCGGAGAATTTTCTAACGCCGAAGTGCCATTAACGCCTTCTCAAAATCGCATTTTACAACCTCTCAGCGGTGACGCCGCGTCGTTTCGGTATGCTTCATACAAATTGTATGGATATGAGAATTTTTTGACTTGCCTCGTTCTCGTACCAAGGATTATAACACCAAAGAACGTAAATATATTTAATTAACTATGTAATAAATTTACCTTCTTTGATAACACTTGCAGCAAAGAACGTAACAATAATTTTCAACTTTGACAGCACCTTCTTCACGTTATTTGATTTCACATCAAACAGTGCAATTTTGTATTCTACGGTCTTGTATTTCCATCGGCATATAAAAAAAATGCCTTGGCAACTTTGGTGGAGTGAGGTGAATTGGGGTTAACTTTTGACAATTGTCGTTTTTCGATAGATTTTGCGGCGTTTACCAGCCGATTTTTTCGCGCTTGCTGAAAAATTATTATTTTAATCGAAATATAATAAAAGAGTTTGTAAAAATAAACAAATAAGACAGAAAATTTACTTGCAATAAGTGCTTGGGCCGTGAGTTGGTAATAATTCTGCGTGTTTAAGTGCAACACAAAACAGCAACATCCGCGTGGGCCGGTACCTCAAGCAGCAAACATGTCCGTACGCGATCAAATAAAAATTGATATAGTAAGTAAATATCGCATCATTTTAATGAATCTTATGAAAGGAAGTTATTAATGCTTTGAAAAACTAAATTATAAACAGGAATGGGGTCACGAACGCTTGGTGCGTTCGCAACAGGTTGTGGAGATGCGACCCTACGATATCGAATCGTGGTCCGTGCTGCTGCGTGAGGCTCAAACGCGGCCAGTCAACGACGTACGCAGCTTATATGAATCACTGGTAAATGTATTTCCTACAACCGCACGATACTGGAAAATCTACATTGAGCAGGAAATGAAAGGACGCAACTTTGAACGCGTTGAAAAATTGTTCCAGCGTTCGTTGGTGAAAATTCTAAATATCGACTTGTGGAAATTGTATCTGACTTATGTAAAAGAGACTAAGGCTGGCTTAAGCACGCACAAGTAAGCTGTCCTTTTATAAAAAAAAAATATACTGAATCTATAAAATATTTCCGCGTTTTAGAGAAAAACTTGCACAAGCCTACGACTTCGCCTTGGAGAAAATAGGTATGGACTTGCACTCGTTTTCAATATGGCAGGACTACATTCATTTCCTGCGCAGCGTTGAGGCTGTTGGTAGTTATGCCGAAAATCAGAAGATAACGGCCGTGCGTCGTGTGTATCAGAAGGCGGTAGTTACGCCCATAGTCGGCATTGAACAATTATGGAAAGACTATATCGCTTTTGAGCACAATATTAACCCAATAATATCAGAGAAAATGAGTTTGGAGCGTTCCAAGTAAATGTCGACATTAGAATGTATATCTCCTTTTTGTTGAAAAAAATTTTAATTTCTAGGGATTATATGAATGCTCGACGCGTTGCCAAGGAGCTTGAAATACTTACCAAAGGGCTGAATCGCAATTTACCGGCCGTTCCCCCAACGCTCTCTAAAGAGGAAACCAAACAAGTAATTTAGCTACAATATGCATATGCATTAAATACATTTTTAAAAACCTTCTAAATTTTCTTCCTTTTAGGTTGAGCTGTGGAAAAAATTTATTGCCTTCGAGAAATCAAATCCGTTGCGCACAGAGGATACAGCGCTCATTACACGCCGTGTTATGTTTGCTACTGAACAGTGCCTGCTGGTGCTCACCCATCATCCAGCGGTGTGGCATCAGGCAGCACAGTATCTCGATCAAAGCGCTCAAGGGTTGGCAGAAAAAGGCGTGCGTATTGTGTTGCATAAAAGTATAATTATATTTTCAGAATTTCATAGCTACACTCGAAGAAGGAAACAATTTGCGTTGCTGAATTTGTATGACACATTTAAAGTGCATGAAATGCTAATGTTAAGGAATTTCGTTTTTATAGTGGAGACAGCTTCAAAGAACTCCCGACAGTACTTACTTTTGCAATTGCGCAGTTTAGCGGGAAAAGATGCCAATAAAATGCTGTGTGATGCGCAGCACGTTACGCATTCAAACTGCCTAAATTAGCCTCTTTTTATTTACAAGAAACTTGCAACAGATGCGTGGTTGTATTGATGCAGTTGCATGTGACTCCGGAGTTAAAACCATCAGGCAGATTTAAAAATTTAATGAAAACATTTTCAATGTCATATACATGTGTATATGTAATAATCCTTTTGTTGTTCTTGTAACAGCATACAAATTCCCCAAACAGTTTTGGGGAATGATGTTGCAGTAATAGTCCTTGGCCAGATATGAATCTGGGTCGTTCCCGTTAAGTAGTCCCGACTGACGTGGGAACGCTACAATAAATATGTAATAATCCCTTTAATATGTACTAGTCATGCAACTGCAATGATGCTTCCATCGACATCGCCCACTTACTGTGTTCATTTGTACTTATAAGCCATCTAACCACTTGCTAGATTCATGTAAAATTGTTTTATTACTTTCTTCTCCCTCCTCCACAGGACACACAAGCTGCTAAGATTTTCGGCGATGAATGCGCCAATATATTGGAACGTTCTATCAGCGGCGTTTTGAATAAGAACGCTCTACTTTATTTCGCTTACGCTGACTTTGAGGAGGGACGCATGAAATACGATAAAGTGCATGCCATGTACAATAAGTTGCTGTCTATTCCGGATATTGATCCAACACTGGTAAGGACTATACACATTTTTAACAATGAATAAATTATAGTTTTTCTATCTGCACTCTCCCTTAGGCTTTTGTGCAGTACATGAAGTTTGCGCGCCGTGCGGAGGGTATCAAATCAGCGCGTGCAGTCTTCAAGAAAGCGCGTGAAGATGTACGCTCACGATACCATGTTTTTGTGGCCGCAGCGCTAATGGAATACTACTGTTCTAAGGATAAGGATATTGCTTTTCGTATTTTCGAACTGGGACTAAAGCGCTTTGGTGGAAGCCCAGAGTATGTTATGTGCTACATTGATTACTTATCACATTTAAATGAGGATAACAATACGCGTGTGCTTTTCGAGCGTGTACTCTCATCAGGCGGGCTGACACCAACGCTCAGTGTTGATGTGTGGAATCGTTTTCTGGAATTCGAGTCAAATATAGGCGATCTGTCGAGTATTGTAAAAGTAGAGCGTCGTCGCAGCGCCGTGCTGGAGAATGTGAGTGGCTGGTGTTGGGTGTACATTCGAAATTTCACGGAGCTAATAATATTTCTCAATTGTAGCTGAAAGAGTATGAAGGTAAAGAGACTGCTCAGCTGGTGGATCGTTATAAATTTCTGGATTTATATCCTTGCACGACCGTCGAGCTGCGTTCGATTGGCTACACAGAGGTGAGATGCAGTTCGCTGCCCTAATTTTAACAACAAAAAAAAATGTTATACATACATATTACTTGTAAACGTTTGTACATAATTGAAATTTCAATGCTGCTTGCGCTGAAAAAATGCTAGAAAGTTTACGTAAGTTTGCCAAATGGCAGCACCAGCATTCACTTTTCACGACATGCGTTGCAACGGCTAGCGACCATTGCTTTCTTGCCACTTCATTAGCATATTTTACATAATTTCATAGCTGTAGAACAGCTTCCACCTACTATAATTATCATATATTCGGACTCTATAAACTTTTAGAATGTTGGCATCATGACGAATAAATTGGCCGGCGCTACGACTGATAAGACAGATGAGCCAGACTTCGAGCAGGCGGTGACCTTACCGCGTCCAGACTTCTCACAAATGATACCCTACAAACCGAAGGTGAATGCGCATCCCGGTGAACATCCACTGGCAGGCGGCACCTTCCCTCAACCGCCGGCATTGGCCTCATTATGCGCACAGCTACCGCCTCCAGTTTCCTTCCGCGGTCCATTCGTCTCTATTGAAATGCTGTTCGATATCTTCAACCGCATAAAGCTGCCCGATGGTACATAGTTGCTTTTCTTATGTTTTTTGTTCGCTTTTATTTACCTCTATTTCTATTTTCAGCCGTGCCCCTGCCTGTTGGCGATCATGGTTGCGATACGAAACTCTTCGATTTGGCCAAGTCAGTGCACTGGATTGTTGATGACAGCATTTGCACCGGCGATGCGGGTAGCCTCAAGCGTCGACGCATGTTGCCGGGCGGGGATGACAGCGATGAAGAGGCACAGGCGCCAGCGCCACCCGCTAATGATATCTATCGACTGCGGCAGCAAAAACGTTTCTCCAAATAAACTATGCATATATTTTAATATAATTTTAAATATACTCACTAAGATCGCGCGGCACTGCATAAAAGTGCTGAATTTTACAATGTACGTAAATGACAGTTTTATTGAAAGCATTTTTTTATTAATATGCAACACAAGGCAAAGTAAAGGCAATAAGCTTACATATTTGATACAAATTAACTAATTAAAGTACATGAGCACTGGACGGAGTAGTGAGTATGTTATTTGAAACCTTAAAACATCTTTTTTTCATTAATTTTAATTTTAATTTTTTACTTTAGTCTTAATTGCTAGGCGCTTGCACCTTTAAAATGTTCATCTGTAAAATTTGCATACACATCATTCAACAGCTTTCCAGCTCATTAACAATTTCACATCCAAAATCTAAAATTCCAAAACTTAATAGAATAACGCAAAGCATTTAGTTCTGCTTTCGATTCTTCCATCGGTGGTGAGCCGTTTTTGAATTTCCGGTTGGATTTAATATTGAAATATAGTTTTTTCTATTTTTAGTTTCCCATAATTTTCCTGTCACATTAATTGCACTAACATTACAAACCTATTGCACTATTTAAGGATATATGTACGTACAAACATACAAATGAATTGTAAAATTTCACTGGTAAGTTTGACTTCTTTTGGTTGACTATTTCAGTAGTATAGGGATTTATGAACAACATTACGGGGTATTTAGTTCACCATTTATAATTTTGTATTTTCTTATGTAATATTTGCATTATCTTGTGTACTTCAAGCCGTGAAATTCAAGATGAAATGTATATTAGGAAATCGTTACCAATTTAAGCTCAGCATTTAAATTTTCAAAAATCTTGGCGCTGCTAGCGTTACTGGAGGTGATGTCTTTCTTCGAAGTATTTTCATAATCTTTCAAATAGTTCTCTTTGCTGTTGTAATATCAATGTATATTTCACTTAGCTATAAAATTTAGTTCTGTTTTGAATCGCCGCTGCGGCAGTGGTTCTTTAATGTTTCCCGGTATCTCATGCAACGTCTTTATTCTCCTCTTCCCCCTCTATACCGGCGCCCTCACCCGCTCCTGCTCCGGATGCTGCACGCTCTATCATCTTCTCCGCCCTCTCCTTCACAAACTCAGCTGGGTGATAGCGCTTGCGATGCTTATACAATCCAGCGAATTGCGCAAATTGCTGACAGCACATATTACACTTGTACCGCTTCACACCCGAGTGCAGCAGCATGTGCGCATAGTAACTGGAGCCGACACTGAAATCCTTGCCGCAAATGGTGCACACCTTCTCACGTATATTCATGTGTGTGCGCATGTGCCGATCACACTCGAAGGCCGAGTAGAAGGCCTTGCCGCACAGCTCGCAGGCATGATCGCGCTTATTGCTGTGCCGTTTGATGTGCTGATTTAGTTTGCTGCCGCTGACGTAACTGGCGCCGCATTGCTCGCAGATGAACGGCCGGATCTTGGTGTGCGAGCGCTCGTGAAGGCGCAACGTGGCGGCGTCGAAGAACTTTTTCGGACATTGCGTACATGCGTGCGGTCGCTGATTGGTGTGCCGCTGGAGATGGCACCTGAGATTGCGCCGCATGGTGAAGCTCATGCCGCAGATGTGGCAGACGTTGGCAAGCGCGGCGGCTTTCTTTTCGGGTGCTGTTAGCGGTGCGCGCTTTGCTTTGGCTTTGCGACGCTTGTTGTTGTGCTCTTGCCACATGTGGCGCTCGATTTCGGTGTGTTTTTTATATTGCGCGCCGCATTTCTCGCAAACGAATGGCGCCACATGCGGGTCGAGGAATTTGAGTAGATCGTAGTACTCGTACCTGGGCGTGTATATTTCTCCCTGCTCCTCGGAGGTGAAGCGGCGCTCCTTCTCCAGCCGATAGGTGCAACGGAATTCGACTATACGTTGCTTGAGTTTGAGCGCCGAAATGTTGATGTTGTGCGCGTCGCGTAGCTTGTCGCTCATCGACTTGAAAAGCCCTTGGCGCAAGCGGCGTCGCTTGAATTGCGCATTATTGATGTCCCACAACTGCGGATGCTCGGCATATACCTCTATGATTTTCAGATTTTGTTGCTTGCTCAGCAGCTGCTTCGACGGATCGTTGGCGTGTTCCGCAAGCTGAAAGTAAAAGCAAATGTGTTGCAGCGCATATGCTGTGAAAAAAAAAAAAATATTTTTTACGCTCACCATCGGCGCTAGATAGGCGAAGTCATCGTAGAAACACCAACGCGTACTGCCGCCCTCCGACTCGATACGCGTTCGCTCACGTCTGTAATACTTGACGTAGTCGTGCACTTTGCGATGAACCGTTGTCCAGGTGTAGTGCATTTGAAAGTGCTCATTCAGCTGTGCGGTCAATTTCCGCCAAGCGTTGCGGCGCCGCTCACGCGCGTTAAAGTCCCTATGTGAGGAGTTCCAAAGAATCGGGTGCTCCGCGTAGAGCTGAATTAATTTACGCGTCTGTTCGGTCGTGAGCCGCGCAAAAGATTCGCCTTTAGCTTTTTCTGTATTTTCAGTGGTCCCGGCCTCATTTCGCTCGTCGCACTAAGTTGGGGAGTTTGGTTAATAAATAAGTTAGGTTGCTGGGTTAGGCGCGCGATTGCAATTCAAGTGACTTATTACTTTTTTGCACAAAAATTGCAATTAAAAGTTTCTAAAAACATGAAGATCGCTTAGACAAGCACTATATTTAAATTAGTGCCGGCAGTTAACTGCCGAATGAGAGTTAACTCGTCACTGTAAAACGGCCCTTAAATAGTATATAATTCAAGTTCACCACTGATCTAATCTACATACTTATCAGAGATTCATAAAAAAGAAATGTGACCTATATCAATGTCCTCTCAATCGTAAAGAACCTTAACAATCCAGCCCGAATGAATTCTTACTCTAATAATCCTCTTCTCCCCTTAAGTCCACTCAGCGTAACCTTTATACATAGTCTTGCGTACTTACATCTTGTAAAATTCCCGAGTCACCATTCGAAGAGTCATACTCCTCCGAAGCCACGTTTTCGTCAGCCACAGTTGTAGCATTGTTCTTGGGCATCGTTTCTACTGCACTGGCATCAACGGTAGAGGTGCTTACTTCCGGTTCTTGTGTGTTTAGATCGAACTGAAAGCAAAAAGTTTGCCTTACATTTATGTTTACATCGCCTTGCCATGGGATACTTACCACCGGCTGCAGCTCTATTACTTCCAAAATTTCTACCTTGCCTCCCTCGTTTCTTCTCCGTAAAACTCTCTTCTCCACATTTGAATCGTACTCTGCATTTCTACGTTTGCTGAGTGCATTTTTTTGCTTGAAAGATTTCGTCTCTGACTGCGCGGTCGCCGGCTCCGAGGCGATTGATGTTTCAGCTGCTAAATCACCACCACAGTGCTGGGACTCGCTTGCAGTTGAATTTACGTCAACCTGATTGTCTATAATCTCTGCGGAAACTCCATCCGCAGAACTCACGCACTGTGTAAACCCGTTAACGTCATCAGTCCCTACAACGTCTTCTTTCTGTAATTCACTGCCGTTCAATTGTATCGGCAGTAAGCAGTACTCCATTTTTTCTCCACTTTCTTCTATTGTACCGCTATCTATGGAGCCTGTCTCTTGTTCTGAACTTTTGCAGCATTCAGTCGCATCTTTGCAAATTCGTTTGCAAATTCCACAAAACTGTGGCTCGATGTGTTCTTTCAAGAATGATAGGTGCGCATAAAACTCAAAGCATCTCTCAGATGACCGGCCTTCCAGCATGCTTCTCAGCTCTTCGAGTTTCTCGAGGCGGTAACGTTTTCGTAGCACCGCCAGCCGATGTTTTACCGCTGCCGCTCCGAGGTTTATTCCATGTTGCTTTAGTTCAAGGCTGATGCTGCGATATGCTTCCGCTTGCTCCTCAGGTTTAAGTTCGCTGCGTTGTTGTTTACGCCAGAGCTCGGGATATTTCTCATAGATTTCGATTAACTTCTCAGTTTTACTACGTTGCCGGGCGGGATTCTGTGGAAATGGAATTAAAAAAAAAGAATGGAGTACTAGAAAAATGACTGACGCTTCTAGTTTTGAAGAAGGCTTCTATTAGAGCCAAAGTCTCTATTCAGAGCTTACGCAACGCAATTAAGATCTTAATGATTGATCATCATTATATCTGTAGAAAACCTTACGAACTTTTCCGCAGAGTTGGTGGAGTTTTCTTTCAAGCTCATTGCGCAAATAAAAAATAAAAATAAAATTCGAACCTCGCATGAATGACACCCAAAACGCAAAGATGATAGGTTCCAATGAGAGAAAGAGCATACCCGCTGGACTTTGTATGAATGAAAGGAAGGTAAATTGGATAAAAGGCCGGATTTAGATAGATGATTGACTCAGACCGACGCGGCAGTACACGAAAAAGGCCTAGGTTAGCAGGACTCTGAGCCCTGACTTTAGATGAATCTCCGACTTTTGCAACTAGACCGATGCGATGGTTGATGAAAGAGAGAAGGGCTTCGGTTGAATGGAGGATCCAAGGAGTGGCGGCCGATGTGACAGCCCAAGAAAAAAAGCCAACCGAACCGTTAGTTTAAAGAAACTATAGGATGTTCTCACGGCAGTCGGAACTACATAGTCGGATCGACCAAGATTTAGATCTGGCCGAGGCATGCTACTTCAGAAAAATTTGTGTGCATTTAAAACTACGACGGTTGACGAAGAAGGGTTCAAAAGCAGGTCATCGAACCCGGACAATATACATGTGTACGTTCGATAGATTTACAGTCGACCTAATATCTATTTTGTCAAGCCACATAACAAAGTTTACTTTATTATTTAGAAAGCGGAATACATAAATATGTACTTATGTATGAAAAACTAGAAGAAACTAATAAATTTCTGTGCGCAAACATGGAATAAATTAGCATCTACTTACCTCAACCTGTTTTTGTACGTCGGCAGTCATTGTACTTGCGCTCGCACACTTCACATACATGTCTTCAGCACCGCGAAGCGTCTTTTCTTCCGCACACAAATTACTTGCAACTCCACTATCGATTAAGCGTACAGCAGTAGAAGCGCGCGCTATCACTTCGAACGGCGCAAACGAGCTTGAGTTGTTGTCGCAAGCGACGGATATGGCTACGTTTTCACTGCTATCGGAAATCTTTGAAAAAAAAAATTTTGAAAATGAGAAACCAAAAAACCAAACCGATTCGTCTTATGACGTTACAATGGCGCGCTACACTCACCGTTGTCGCGTGCCTCGGCACGCTTTCAGCCAAAGCTGTCGCTTCCATAAAAGTGTCTTGTATCTCTGCATCTATTTCAGCTTCTGATCCAAAATTATCGACTTCGCTCGCCGAGTCTGTTTGCTCCTCCATAGCCGTCCATTGAGTGGTCCAAGTTCCACAGCGTTCTTGCGTCGTTGAATCTGGTAGTGAGGCATACGCCTCCGCTGTCCAATCGTAGTGCCAGATATCCATGTGCTCTGCAAACTCGGAAAGCGTACAGATCGGTCGTTCCTCGCAGAGCTGACATTCGATAGCGAAGAGTTCACCGACGCAGTCCCAAACGAAAACCTCCCCACACTTCAGCCGTGGCTGGCTAAATTCATAAGCTGGCTGCGTTGTCGGTGAAGGTGTGGCAGCTGCGCAGGCGCCATTGTCGTGTGCGTTAAACATGGCCAAAAATACCACTTATTCGGCTATAAAAAGCACTAAGAAAATAACTTTTGCCTCGGCATGCCAAAGCGTGCTCGAGCAATGTCTATTTAAGCAGCGATAAATGGCGATTCGATGACGTCGCACTTAACGTGGTAAGAAAATTAAAAATTACAAAATCGCACAACAACAAAAAGAGTTATATTGAAAATAGCTTAAGCACATGCGGCCGTTAGCGCGCAAATATTGTCCCGATCACGATGACAGAGCGACGATGACTAAAGCCTAAGTGCGCAATTGAATCTGAGATTATTGAGGAAAATCAGTGGCTCAGTCGAATAGTTCGCAGAGCAGCGGAGAAACAAAACTGAAGAAACTGAAAAAAGAACAACTGCAAGAGTAATGTGCCAAGTGGCCGTGGCCAAAACCGGAACCGTGGTTACCGCCGCAGACGTGGTAATAAAAAGCGGCAGCGGGGGACAGCAACACCAACAACTAGACAGTCGGTCAGCAAATGAAATCACGAAATCATAACAAAACTATAACCAACACAAACAAAATCCGGGTGAATGATGCAAAGAAACGGCCTACGAGTACAACAAAACGCTGACGGCTTTTAGCAGCAGCAGCAGAGTTGAATGAACGAAACGGTTGAAGACGGTGTGGAAGAAAAGGAGGAGGAGGAGGACGATAGCGCAGACGTGGAAGACGGCAGAGTGTGGTCAATAAACAACAGGTATTTGAGTTGCGCTTGCCTGGCTAGAGGCAGCAACAGGTAGCGACGTGCCGGCTTAAGAAAACGTGCTGAGGAGACAACGTCAAACAATTGGTAACACGCACACACACACAGAAGCAAGTATGCGTGTTTGTTTAAATGACTTTCGCTCTGTGAGCCAGCGTGTAAGTGTGTGCGCCGAAGAAGGTTAAGTGGTTTTGTTCGATGAATATTTTGCTTAGACACAGTGTATTGGAAAAGTAACGGTACTCAAAATAAAAAAACCAAATAAAAAAATTAAAAATTTTTAATATTAAAAAAAAAACTAAAATTTAAATAAATATAAAAACGAAAAAACATAAAAATAACAAATAAACAAAAATAAAATTATTTAACTTAACTAAAATAAAGTAAAACAATTTTTTTTAATAAAATGAAGTACATAGGTACATAAAATTTAATATTTTATATGAAACAAAAAAATGAATAGATATAAAATAAAATAAAATAACGTGAAAATATAAATATAATAAAGTCGAAAAAATCACATAAAATAAACCTTATAAGATTAAAATTAGTGAACGCAGAAAAACAAATACGTACTATAATAAAATCAAAAATTATAACAGAAAATAAAATAATTCATAAAATTAAGTTGTAGAAATCAGAATTGAAATAAAAAAAAATTAATTAAGTCCCAAGAAAATAAAATGGTATGTAAAAATTTAAAAATAATAGAAGAAAGCAAGAAAACCTCAATAAAAGGTGTCATATAAAAAGCCAACGCATAAGAAATAAATAAAAATATAAAAACATTTAAAAATTAAAAATAAAAACTTACATAAATACATATAAAAACAAGAAATTTTTAAGCAAAAACAAAACCGACTTAAATTCTCATATACAAAATTAAGATTATCGTTAATTTCTTCATGATATAATGATCGGATTTTAATTTTGGGACCACCTATAAGGTAACACCTTTCCTTTAAAGAAAGAATTATAGAAATCGGTTAACTTGGTCCAAAGTTATTCGATAACATATGTACATACCTAAAAAAAAATATATATTCCGACGAATTGATAACGTTCGCCTTTCTTGAAGTCGGTTAAAAATAAAAAGAGAAAACGAATAAAAATTAATACAAGATGAAGTATTAAAAACAAATAACACTGAAAACTTTAAATAAAAGATAAATAAAAAAATAACAGAAAACTAAAAAAAAAATAAATATGGAAAAGATTAAAACTAAAAGTTAAAAATATAATACATAGTTCACATTTTAAATCAATTATGGGTCGATTTCGTATGGCAAAGAAACTTCAGTTGCGTCGCCAATGGCTGAAATGATATTACAGATGGCAACTAGCGCCGAAATGTTGATTGAGAAAATGTATTTCTTGTTTTTTAAACTCAATCCTTGGCTGCTGTTGTTTTAATACCATTAGCTTCAACTTTTTAGCACTTAACTACAGTCGCTATTCATAATACGAGGGAAATTTGAAAAGCCACTGACTTTTTGAATTACCCGCGCAGTAACTTTAAATGCACAGCTGCGCCATTTAGTTTGTGCTTGACAGCCATTGAAAGTAGACAAAAAAAAGGAAAATTCGTAAATGACATAAAATCGATTTTTTATGACGTTAAAAGTTCAAGGAACTGAAGCCTGAACCTCCATCGTGATAACATCTAGGCTAGCTTTGATTCTACGAAACCTTCCAATTTTTATTTATACCAAGAGCGCTTTAAGCTATTACTTTCTTCTTTTACAAGAACTTTTGATATTTTAAAACTATCTGGGTATTGCGTTTTATAAATCTGCTTTATGTGGGAACGATTTTATGAAAGCCTGACCCTACGTTGTTTTTCATAATAACGCAATTCCATAAGCGGCTCTTTCAGAACTCGATACATCAAACAATTTCCTGTTCTGCCGCTTTGTTTTGAATATACTTATTAGGCTTAGAAGCGTGATTTTCGCACACAAAGGGTGTGATACCTTTTTTAACCGACCTCAACAAAGGAGTTAGGTTATCAATTCATCGGAATATTTTTGTTCTATGTAACGGGATAAGTTTGGACCACATAAACCGTTTTCAATGATTATTTTTTTTTTTTATTGGAAAGGTGGTGGCTCAAGGGTGGTCCCATACTAATTTGGTATAGTTCCGATCATTGATTGGTTTAATGAGCAGCTGACTTAATCAAGTTTCATTTTTCAAAGTCTGCCTTTTTGCTGCTTTATATCTACCACTGTCCCTCTAATTTTATGACATTGTACTTACTTTAAAATTCTACATATTTATGTGCTAACTGCGTGCGTGTATCTACCTGAAAGAGCGCAACCTGCTCAAGTAATCGAACGCGCGATTGAGTTATTTTTCTGCGCTTATAAGTCAGCTGATTTGGTTCTCTCGAACAAACCGGTTAGGCCGTAAGTCGTCACCCATCATAATACGCCAGATTCAATATCAACTTCAACTGCTACCTGTTCGGCAACAAATATTTACTTAAAAATTAGTATTTACAAACCCATTTGTGTGCGCGAGGTAAATATGTATACCTATTGTAATGTATTTGTATGTAAAATTGTAATGTAGTATATGAGCTTGTGTACTTATGGAGGTGCCTCTGTAAAGCAATTGATTTGACTTTACGTGTGAAAACGCATCGAAATGAATACAGATTATTTTTAGTAAAATAAATGTATCTTTTCAGTATGAAAGCCTTTATAGCTGGCAATCGCATTTGTACATATGTATGTATGTATGTATGTACATATGGGGCGATTCACGTCAAATGTGCCAGGCGCACTGAGCTGTGCAAAACAAGCTACATTTCGGCTGAAAATGGTGAAATGACTAGAAAGTAGTTTTCCAAAATGTTCCCATTTTCACGGTGAAAATTCGAAACGACAATTTAATTTCTAATTTTTCTCAACATTTTGCTCAAATATGATCATTTATACAAGCTTTTATTTTTAATACTGTTTTAAGCAATTTCAACCGAAAGATCAGCGCGAGAAACGCGGCATTCGATATCGTACGTAACTAGAATCGAAATTTGATTTTTAGATTTAAATTGTATGTATTGTGGAGAAAACAGCTGCCATTTTGTTTGATTCGATTCGAAACGATTAGTCACTAGGGCCATATAAATCATAGTTTTCGAAGAATTTTTTTCCCATTTTCCGTCTGCTTCTCTGAAAAGTAGCGTGCTTTGCACCGCTCAGCACGTCTACGACATTGACGACGTGAATCGCCCCATATGCATGACTGTGTGAGTATTTCACCCGCAGGTACTTAGTTTGTGCGAGAAACAGGCTTCATTTCAGCCAATGAATTCGGCAAATAAAAAATCTGTAATTGTCTGGCATATTTAATACCTGACAACCTTACGCCAAACGGCTACCTCGTGCAGGTAATCGATTTTTTCTTTTGGGTTAAGCTAAGAATTTTAGGCGTGCATTTATATACATAATGCAGCCGTTTTATTTAATTTTTTTTTTTTAAGTGGCAAAAGTCATTTCGTGCCGCTTGACTTCAGTGGATCACTTACCTGTATCTGAACGCGTCTGTTATTCGTTCAACTTCAACATCCAAAAGTTAAATGCCTTGTCATTACTTTATGACGGTAGAACGATTTACATACATATGTATGCATTCAGCTAGAAGTAACCTACTAACTATTTAAGCACAAAAGGTGGAAATACTTTATTTCAAAATAAACGGCTGAATTGTAGCCAGTAAACATTTGGGAGTGAAAACACGCAAGAACATATAATTCTTGAAAAATTGACATTTATTATTGGAAAAATTAATTTTCTTAACTCGACAAAAGTTTCTGCATATTGAACCAAACCTCTATATCCCTATGTTTTTCGAATGCGAATCTGAAGTATGTTAGCCACACCATCACGTCAGGTTCGAGGTCATTTGAAGGTCAAGTAGGAAAAAATTAATTGAATAAAATTCATCGAATGCTTTCTATTCTAATAACACAGAGGAAAGAAAAAAGCTAGTTTTGTTCTTATTTTTCCCCAACTGAAGAGAGAATCGAATTCCAAGGCATTCTGAATTCTCAAATTCGACAGATGTCGCCCCTACCGAACTTCAATTTAGTACTGCCTTACCATTTCGTTATTGCGTCTTCATCTACTCGGCCGCAAAATTTCCTAATTGATGTCCTATTTCCGTCTACTTTATGCGATAGGTCTATTTCTTAATCCACGCCCTGGCCTGGTCTTCAATAGATAGGCTTTAAAAATGCCTTCTGCCGGTAGTCGTCGGTTGTCTTATTCCTTCCTAGCTAGAGTTTGGTCAGAATGCTTTAAAAATATTCACAAAGGCTCAGTTATCGGAAGGATGAGTGAGCCATAAATAGTCGAAAGAATCTTTCCAGTTGACACGAACCAATCCGACTTAGAAAAAAAACCAGCAATCGGTTGGCGTTGAAGGCGTTACCTTTACACGAGTCCATTTCTGTTGACTGGAAAATCAACTGGGAAATCGATTAGCCAAAGCACGAATTAACGGTTGAATTGTCATTTACATGGGTCGATTTTAGTT